TGAATAACAGAACATATGGGATTAATTCCAATAGAACCCAGCCCGACCCCCAAACTCCACTTTTTGACGACAAATAACTATGTTGTAGTAAAAATAACATCTTAATTTTATGATGGTACATGCACACAATTAATACTTAAGAGAAATACAGTCGCCAAGTTAATGTCCATTCAAATAATGGACTCAACTCCCTCCCCCTCTCACACTACAGTACACAGCCAGCTAACAGATGGTCGGTCGGTCCCTCCCTCCCCCCCCCCACCCCCCACCAACCGTCCCAAGGAGATGTGTGGGATAACCTCAAACTAAAGTTAGGAAAATATAATTGACATTGCTGGATTCCTTGTAAGACCAGGAATATTTTGAATATAAATGTCATATATTTTTCACAAAAGATAACATACTTACTCAGATTAAACATTTTATCTAAAAATTGTATGTTTAATGCAAAAAATATGTTGTTTATATTCAAAATGATCACCAAATTATAAGAATTCCAGCAATGTAAATTATATTCTGGCCGGATAATTTGTATGAATTTTATGAGCTAAAACAAATATCTACAGTTAATAAAAAAAAAAATATATTCTTCAACACTATCTGTCAATCAAAGTACCCCACCTTGCCTTCCCCCCCTCTTCCAACCGTGCGGTCAGTCCCAACCCTCCCCCCACCCCCCACCAATCCTCCATTCAAGAGTTTTTAACATTTAGTATTAAATAATACCTCAGATTAAAGTTAGGATAATATAATTGACATTGCTGGATTCCTTGTAAGACCAGGAATATTTTGAATATAAATGTCATATATTTTGGACAAAAGATAACATACTTACTCAGATTAAACATTTTATCTAAAAATTGTATGTTTAATGCAAAAAATATGTTGTTTATATTCAAAATGATCACCAAATTATAAGAATTCCAGCAATGTAAACTATATTCTGGCTGGGTAATTTGTATGAATTTTATGAGCTAAAACAGGCAGTCAGGCAGGGTGGCGGGTGGGGGGTGGTGCGAATCTAAAAATAGCTCTCGAGCCGGACACTCACCGCGTTGCTGTGGAAAAATCCGCGTTAAGTGAAAGTTCAGCTTTGGCAAGGCACCGCGTATATGCGAAAACGCGTTAAGTGAAAGCGCGTTAAGCGGGGTAATACTGTATATATATATATATATATATATATATATATATATATATATATATATATATATATATATATATATATATATATATATATATATATATATATATATATATATATATATATATATATATATATATATATATATATATATATATATATATATATATATATATATATATATATATATATATATATATATATATATATATATATATATATATATATATATATATATATATATATATATATATATATATATATATATATATATATATATATATATATATATATATATATATATATATATATATATATATATATATATATATATATATATATATACACACACACACACACACACACACACACACACACAGTAGTACCCCGATTTTCGCGGTCAATTGAACCCACAGGGTACCGCGGAAAGTGAAAACCGCGTAAAGTGAACAACAGAACATATGGGATTAATTCCAATAGAGACTGGCCCGACCCCCAAACTCCACTTTTTCCGACACAATACCTATGTTGTAGTAAAAATTACATCTACATTTTATGATGGTCTGCTCACACAAATAATATTTAAGAGAAATACAGTCGCCAGATTAATGTCCATTCAAATAATGGACTCAAATCCCCCCCCCCCCTCTTCCCAGCTAACTAGCTCCTACCTCTCTGAGAGAAATGGTTGGGTGAAAACACTAGATTTTTAACGTTTAGTAATAAATAATACCTCAGACTAAAGTTAGGATAATATAATTGACATTTCTGGATTCCTTGCAGGTCAGGGAATATTTTGAATGTAAAATTCATATATTTTGCACAAAAGATAAAATATTTGCTTGTGTGAACCAAATTATTACATAAGATCTAAAATTTGTATGTCTAATGCAAAATCCATGATGTTTATATTCAAAATGATCATCATATTGTATGAATTCCAGCAATGTAAATCATATTCTGGCCGAGTAATTTGTATGAATTTTATGAGCTAAAACAAATATATTCAGGTAATAAAAAAAAAAAATTCTTCACACACTATTTGTCAATCAAAGTACCCCACCTTGCCTCCCCCACCTCCTCACACTCACGCCAGCTGGGTCGGTCGGTCCCAACCCTCCCCCCCCACCTTCCCTCCCTATCACAGAAATGTTTGGGTGAAAAAACTAGATTTTAACTTTTAGTAATAAATAATACCTCAGACTAAAGTTAGGATAATATAATTGACATTTCTGGATTCCTTGCAGGTCAGGGAATATTTTGAATGTAAACTTCATATATTTTGCACAAAAGATAAAATATTTGCTTTGTGTAAACCAAATTATTACATTAGATCTAAAATTTGTATGTCTAATGCAAAATCCATGATGTTTATATTCAAAATGATCATCATATTGTAAGAATTCCAGCAATGTAAATTATATTCTGGCAGGGTAATTTGTATGAATTTTATGAGCTAAATAAAAAAAAAAAAAATTTTACTTCACCGTGTATATTTGTAGATGCACCGCGGAAAGTGAAAGTCCGGTTCTGGCAAGGTACCGCGTAAATGAGAAATCGAGGAAAGTGAAATCGTGTAAAGCGGGGTAATACTGTATATATATATTCACAATATTTTATAATCGCAGTCATGTAGTGAATATTCTTTGTAAAAAATATAAATTTTAAATGAATTATTTATAGTGCGGTCACTTCCTACACAAAGACGGGCTATAAATAGCCGTCTTATCTCCCCTCCCCCTCCATCCCTCTGTTCTCAGAGAGAAGGTCTTGGTAAATAACTTTTGTTTGTTTATTTTCATTCTTTATCTAATTTATCATGCTGTATCAAAGTAATATTACTAAAAATTTTAGGCAGCTACCAAACAGGGAGATACTACTGCCTGGGAAGATATTGGAAGCATAATGTACAGTATTGTCTAATGGTAGATCCTACTTCCATATGGCATCACGAAAATTGTGACCAAGTCTTAGGTTGCTGATCAATCTTTCTGCCTCATTTACACACAATTGCAGAGTTTCAATTGTTTCTCTTCCTTTGACAACACAACATACATACAATATAATGTTTCTCACCTTTGATCTTTTTTCCTTTTTGCATTTATTTATGGTTGGTTATTTAAAATAATGCCAATTCACTTCAAGTATTGGCATCAAATTTTACCGGCTGGTGTACACTAGTGACTCACTTAAGCGTCAGTTATTTAACTGGAATTAATGTCGGTGTGAGTAAAATATTTCCATTTACTTGAAATAGATTTGCCAATTTATTTGTTTATTTATTTATTTATAATATACTGTAATATATTAAACACACTGCAAGTATTTTCTTTAATTATATACATGTTTTGCAAAAAAGGGAGGCGACCATTATACCTGGTAGGTGAAGTTGACCAGACATTTATGGTGATCATTAAGGACCAAACTCCGAATCCATGACGTGACTTCTGTTCATCATTTATATCCTAAATTTACCACAGTCGGTAGTTTCAAGAATTAACGCAGTCATTTACTGAATATTCTTTGTAAAAAAAATAAATTTTAAATGAATTATTTATAGGAGATAAATATTATGATCAGTAAATATACAGATATGCATTACTGACCACCTCGAACACAAGGACGGCTAAAAATAGCCACAGGCGGTCACAGTCAAGGTCACTTCCCCTTTCTTGTCACTGGCAAATGGGGGGGGGGGAGGTAGCAGCTGTGTTTATTACCGGGGTATATTGTTCTTTTACGGTATGTTAGACAGGTTTATAATACATTTTTATTATTTTAATATACCGGTAATCTTCATTTTAATCCAGCTTCCCAAACGTAAGTTTCAGTATAAAATAATTAGTGGTAGGACCTTGTGAGTGGTTTACGATGTTTCCTTCACCACTCTTGACACACTAAACCTCAATATTTAAGAGGTAAGAATTTTATATCTGGTGCTTAAGACGACCCCCCAACTTTGGGCTGATTCTTTTATGGTTCAAATTCCGTCTTATAGGCCGAGATATACGGTATTAGTATTATTAATATTTCTTTATTGTACTAATTGTTATATATTTTTAATTATTTTTATTAATTTTATTTTTATTCTTCTTATTATTATTACTCTATTTTAATATATTTTCTCCCCCACAGGCCTTGATGTGGGTCATTATAAAATGACCTGTGCCCTGGTGGGCTAATGCCCCAAAAAAAATAAAACAGTTTTTGCAAGAGATAAAAATTTTAGTTCTTTAGTGTAGTACATTTGAGTACTACAGGAAGAAGTCTGTATAACTAACCCCAGTGGTCAGGATAATATGTACTGTTTTTTAGGTGTTTCTTATCATAATATATCCTTTTTATACATTTAGTACATTCGCCGGAAGATTCGGACAATTGGCTTTTACGGACAGGTGGTCCCAGCCCATTTTGGTCCGGATCTTTGAAGGTTCACTGTACTTAATATTAATAATAAAAATATTAATAATAATGATAATACACCACTGTAATAATATAATACCATAAAAAAAAATAAAAAAAATAATTCAATAGTAAGAAACAATATATGTATGTCGTGTTGTCAAAGCAAGAGAAACAATTGAGAACATGTGTGTAAAAGAGACAGAAAGTCAGATTAGCAACCTGGGCTTGGTCACAGTTTTTGTGATGCCATATGGCAGCAGGGTCTACCATTAGACAACACATTATGCTTCCAATATCTTCCCAGGTGGTAGTACCTCCCTGTTTGATAGGTGCCTATTACCTACTACCTAGTATCTCTTGTTAATGAAATTTGCTAAATCTAAGATAAAACATTTCCAACTAGAACATTTATTAATGATGATCACTGTTGGCACACAACACCAAATGTTCATACCTCAGGTTCTCCAGTGTCCAGGTTAGTCTGAATAAGGATCTTGCCAATTCGGACATCTTTTAGAACTTCACAGAGAGCATTCTCCATAGTTTCTCCTGCTCGTAGGATGGACACACCACAGATCTTCTCTGTTGCAATGCGTTTACCCTCATATGGGATGCCTTGTGGCGTTTCAACCGTCACGTCCTGCTTGAAGGTGTAAGATAGCACTTAGGTCTGAATTCCCAACAAAAAATGTGTTAACTTTTTCCAACTTTAAAAAGTGACAAACACATGCAGGACCTTACTTAAACATAATGACTGCTGGTCCAAGGGCCAGCTGCAATGTTTGGCCTAGTTTCTTTTAGAAAAATTTGTCTCTATATGCAATGATAAATTAGAAAGAATATTGGTGACAATAACATGTACAGTCCCGGAAGAAAACTCTTGACGATGATGAGTGCGGGGAGATATGATAGAAGTATTTAAGTGGGTGAAAGGAATCAATAAAGGAGATATAAATAAAGTTCTTATAATATCTGTGCAGGATAGGACTCATAGCAATGGATTTAAGCTGAATAAGTTTAGGTTTAGGAGGGAGATAGGGAGGAACTGGTTCACAAATAGGGTGGTAGATGAGTGGAACAAGCTTAGCAACTGGAATGCTGGAAAGTTTTAAAAGGAGGCTAGATAGATTCATGGATGATAGACGGTGGTAGTAACTCTCAAAAGGAGCTGCCATGCACAGGACAACTGGCCTATTGCAGACTCCTTATTTTCTCATGTTCTTAACTGCTGGAAAGAACTAGGTTTTATAATTCTTTTGTAAAACTTTGCAATAAGGTCCAAATGACAAAAAGAACAAGAGTCTGGGGTTATTTTGTAAAACTTGTAGTGGCTATGATCTACATGATAAGAAAAATTAAAGGTTGGGATTCTTTTTGTAGCCCTTGAAATTGTTAACATACCAACATACTTTTATCAAGTAACAAAGGGAATGCAGAGCTCTTGTTTTCATAATTATTCTTAGTATGGCTTTAACAGAATGAGTCTGACTGTGTGGAATACAGTTAACTGCTTGTCTGGATAAGTTGTGCACTGAACCCAGTAGTGACCAAAGAATGCTCCAACAGCTCTAAAAAACCAGCACATGGATAATTAACTTAGGATTTTTTACTCTTAATAAGAATTAAGTGCAGTAATTATACAGATGTAACAGAGTGTTTCAAAACTATTTATGCATAAACTCAACAATCAACTACTTTGTCCTCACCGTGAATGGTAACAAAGTCAGTGCATGTTCAATGACGAGACGTATTAATCTTTTGGAATAAAATATAAACTCATCACGTGGTGTGTCCTTGTTACGAATAAATGTGTGGAGTCCCCGAATTTGAGGCGTAGAAGGCAACAGGTGGAGGGAGTTTGGTCTTGACATGCCAAAATTTGCATTAGCCAACTTTTCACGAAGTTTGAAGCCTCTCTGAAAAAGTAAAATATACCTCATTAACACTTTTCCTTAAAAAAGAAAAGAAAATAGAGCTGCCTGCAGAATCACAATGAATTTTGTGTACAGTGATTTTTTTTTTTTTTTTTTCTTTTGCTTAATCTCTAAATAACCCAATTGGCTTAGACAGTACTTCATGGGCACAAATATCCTATATTTCAGTGACAAGATATTGAAAATACATTACAGTCATCTGCTACAGGCAGTCTTACTGCTCATAAGACATCATAAAAACTTCACTGATTTCTATTTTGCATTTAGTCCCAACCCAGAAAACATCACTACAGTAAAAGTCCAAAAATCTGGATGCCAGAAATCCGGACCACCCGAGAATCCGGACTTTTCGAAAACTCAAACTCTATTTTTTTTTTTAGCTGGCTTTTGTGTGTATGTGTGCATGCGTGAGCGCCACAGCTGCACAGCGACAACAAGCGATCACGCGGTCACCACTTTAAAATGAGCAATCAAACTGTGACAACGTATGTAATTTTGAGTCCTACTCTTTCCATTTACAGAGTACTGTACAAGCCCATAATAATGGCTCCTAAAGTAGATAAACTTCGTTGTGTGAAGAGAAAAAAGAACACGTTGAAATTGAGTGACAAACTTGAAATAATTAAGAAACTAGAACGTGGTGTGAGTAACACTGCTCTAATGGAAACATACGACATTGGAAAGTCTACAATTTATGATATAAAAAAGGCAAAGAATAAAATTTTAGAATTCACAGCTTTATCTTTAAAACTGCTTGTTTTGATAAATGAAGCATGCTATATTTGCTAATGAATATACTATCAAAATGTACCTGTTCAACTCTTCTTTATTTCTCCTGAAATTTGAATTTTAAAAGTACAGTGAGTTCTGCTATAACGCGTGTTTTGACAACGCGAATTTGCTCTAACGCTATTTATGAATTGAGGAACGATATTTGTAAAACGCGAACTCGTTTGCTCTAACGCGATTCCACTCGAACGGTTGTTATGGCTTCAGTTCATGTTCGACATCACATGTTCAATTGAGTTATGTGTTTTGTTTGTGAACAATTGCAGAAATAATGTATGTAATATTTATGTATACAGTATACCTATATATTATAAGTAAATTGTAAAATTTTAAATAAAAGAAAAAATCAAATTACATAGCGTTTTAGACCCGCGCTCTCTTTACATCACACACAGTGTTTACAGTTCACGTTCAACATCACATATTCAATTGATTTATGTGTTTTGTTTGTGAAGAATTGCAGAAATAATTTATGTAATATTTATGTATACAGTAAACCACTCACAAGGTCCTACAGTGACAAGAAAGGGAAAGTGACCTTGACTGTGACCGCCTGTGGCTATTTTTAGCCGTCCTTGTGTTCGGAGGTGGTCAGTAATGCATATCTGTATATTTACTGATCATAATACTTATCTCCTATAAATAATTCATTTGAAATTTATTTTTTGCAAAGAATATTCAGTAAATGACTGCGTTAATTCTTGAAACTACCGACAGTGGTAAATTTAGGATATAAATGATGAACAAAAGTCACGTCATGGATTAGGAGTTTGGTCCTTAACGATCACCATAAATGTACATAAATGTATATAAATTAAAGAAAATACTTGCAGTATATTTAATATATTACAGTATATTATAAATAAATAAATAAACAAATAAATAAAAATTCCCTTATCATCCTGTGTTATATACAGAAATACTTGAGTCCCTGAGCGAGTACACAAAAAGAAAACGGAGGACTAGGACATCCTGAAGTGGATAGAGAACGGACATCTCTACTGGGGGACTCAAACGTTTCTCATGTTTTGTATGTGTAGCAATGAATAATATAATTACAATTTACATATATATATATATATATATATATATATATATATATATATATATATATATATATATATATATATATATATATATATATATATATATATATATATATATATATATATATATATATATATATATATATATATATATATATATATATATATATATATATATATATATATATATATATATATATATATATATAAAATTGTAAAAATTTAAATAAAAGAAAAACTAAATACGTAGCGCTTAAAGTGTACTGTACAGTACAGTGTTGTGGCTTGGCGCGGGGTTATGCAGTGTTTACAGTTCACGCTCGACATCACATGTTCAATTGATTTATGTGTTTTGTTTGTGAAGAATTGCAGAAATAATTTATGTAATATTTATGTATACAGTATACCTGTACAGTATATGTAAAATGTAAAATTTTAAATAAGAGAAAAACAAAATACATAGCGCTTTAGACCCGCGCGCTCTGTTTACTCCACACTTTGTTTGAAACACGTGTGAAGTTTTTAAGTGTCCTCAGTGAATTCTGATTACTGTTTCTCCAATTTTGTGACTATGGAAAGGAAGAATATCTCTGGGAAGCACTCTGGTGATCGCATTTCCGGTGGTGATCGTAAAAGAAAGGCTATAACACTTGAAGAAAAGCTTGATGTTTCATGACTCCTCAGCCTCAACATCAACCTTCTCCCCCATCAAGTTATATTCATATTTTTTCAAGGTAAAGTGTAACATTTACTGTATGATTTCATTATTAGATATGAATGTAACATTTATTTAGACTGTGCTATCCTTTGTGTTAGGCTAACTACGAAATTTTTTTTCGATTTGGAGTAATCTGCACCTAACCCTATTTTCTTCATAAGCCCTGTTATTTCTATTACACGAATTTCTATAACACGATGTTTTACAAGAACACAACTATCGCGTTATAGCAGAACTACCTGTACTGCCTGAGAATCCGGAAAATCCGAAAATCCGGACCGACCCAATCCCCAAGCAGTCCGGATTTTTGGACTTCTACTGTATTCTGATTTTTACTTTCTCTTTGCATATTATGCATGGATTTCTTTTTGGCAACAAAGTACTGTACAGTTGTACCCCACTTAACGCGGTCAATTGAACCCAGAGGGTCCCGCGTTAAGTGAAATCCGCGTTAAGTGAACAACAGAACATATGGGATTAATTCCAATAGAAACCGGCCCGACCCCCAAACTCCACTTTTTGAAGGCACATACCTATGTTGTAGTAAAAATAACATCTTAATTTTATGATGGTACATGCACACAATTAATACTTAAGAAAAATAGAGAAATACAGTCGCCAAGTTAATGTCCATTCAAATAATGGACTCAACTCCCTCCCCCTCTCACACTACACAGCCGGCTAACAGATGGTCGGTCGGTCCCTCCCTCCACCCCCCCCACCAACCGTCCCAAGGAGATGTGTGGGATAACCTCAAACTAAAGTTAGGAAAATATAATTGACATTGCTGGATTCCTTGTAAGACCAGGAATATTTTGAATATAAATGTCATATATTTTGGACAAAATATAACATAGTTACCTAGAGAAAAATTTTTATCTAAAAATTGTAAGTTTAAAGCAAAATATATGTTTATATTCAAAATGATCACCAAATTATAAGAATTCCAGCAATGTAAATTATATTCTGACCGGGTAATTTGTATGAATTTTATGAGCTAAAACAAATATCTTCAGTTAATAAAAAAAAAATAATCTTCACGACACTATCTGTCAATCAAAGTACCCCACCTTGCCTCCCCCCCTCTTCCAACCGCGCGGTCAGTCCCAACCCTCCCCCCCACCCCCCACCAATCCTCCCTTCCAGAGTTTTTAACATTTAGTATTAAATAATACCTCAGATTAAAGTTAGGATAATATAATTGACATTGCTGGATTCCTTGTAAGACCAGGAATATTTTGAATATAAATGTCATATATTTTGGACAAAAGATAACATAGTTACCTAGAGAAAAATTTTTATCTAAAAATTGTAAATTTAAAGCAAAATATATGATGTTCATATTCAAAATGATCACCAAATTATAAGAATTCCAGCAATGTAAATTATATTCTGACCGGGTAATTTGTATGAATTTTATGAGCTAAAACAAATATCTTCAGTTAATAAAAAAAAATAATAATTCTTCACACGGTAACAGATGGTCGGTTGGTCCCTCCCTCCCCCCCACCCCCCACCCCCCACCAACCGTCCCAAGGAGATGTGTGGGATAACCACTAAATTTTAATAAATAATACCTCAAACTAAAGTTAGGATAATATAATTGACATTGCTGGATTCCTTGTAAGACCAGGAATATTTTGAATATAAATGTCATATATTTTGGACAAAAGATACCATAGTTACCTAGAGAAAAAATTTTATCTAAAAATTGTAAGTTTAAAGCAAAATATATGATGTTTATATTCAAAATGATCACCAAATTATAAGAATTCCAGCAATGTAAATTATATTCTGGCCTGGTAATTTGTATGAATTTTATGAGCTAAAACAGGCAGTCAGGCAGGGTGGCGGGTGGGGCAAATCTAAAAATAGCGTCTCGGACACTCACCGCGTATATGTGGAAAAAACCCGCGTTAAGTGAAAGTTCAGCTTTGGCAAGGCACCGCGTATATGCGAAAACACGTTAAGTGAAAGCGCATTAAGCGGGGTAAAACTGTATATATATATATACAGTGGGGTATGCTATAACGAACGGATCCTACTACGAATATTCCTATAACGAAAGGTTTTACCTATAAAATTGAGAATGCTATAACGAACGAAACTCCTACAACGAACATTATTTAATTTTTTTTTTTTTCTAATTTATTGTTTTTTTATTACAAATATTAATGATATTCTTTATTTCAGGGGTTTAGATGCATATATATGAACTTTTTTACAATTTTATATTATATTTTTCAGTGTTAAGTGGTTGTATTTGGGGGCCTGGAACGGATTAATCCTATAACGAACGAATGCTATAACGAACAAGGTTCTAGAACCAATTAGATTCGTTAGAGCATACCCCACTGTATATATATATATATATATATACAGTTAACCCTCACTTTACACGGTCCCACATTCCGCGTTTACGCGGTGCC